TGAAAAAAAGAAGACATTTTATAAGCATTTTATTAGAGTTGCACTATCCATCCTACACTGAGCTTTTCATAAAGATCAAAAAGGCTGTGGCTGTTAGATTAAGCATCTATCCCTGTATAACTATACAGTTGGTTTTAGGGTGATGCTCTTAGTCAGGTTCAGGAGATAAAAAAGAATAATGCACTATTAAAGTTGCAATTGTTTGTATTGGGTCCAAAATATAAATCCATGTACCTGGCTAAAGAGGAGGTAGGAATTTGGCGAATTATTTTCATGGAGTTTTATATAGCTACTAATAAGAGTTAAATTAAATGAATGCATGTGTGTGTACAGCTATATTGATAGACTCTCCTTAAAATGTTAGTATTTTCAGTCCTGCTGAAGGAATACAGAAAGAGAAGCCAGGACTGTTTCACCAGCATAGCTGGCTTCAGCTCTCATGTATTCGAATACATTTGGCAACACTAGAGGGACTCACGCATACTTTGTACAGTCATTTTTTGGGATGCTTGTGAAAATTTGGGGATTTGAGCCTTGGAGCACCATGAAGCAGGAAAGAAGCTAACACTGCAAAAACATTTCCTTTGGCAAGTGCTACTCCTTCCTGTGCAAGGACCCTCAGTGAACCAGAGCCTTCAGGCCACCTCCTAGCTACAACACAAAACTCTGCTTTAATATCTCTGTATTTTTCATGTGTCTTCTTTCCTCTGTTTGATATTTTTGCCTAGATCTCTAGCCAGGCCAAGCTAACATACCTTTGCTAGTTTGAGGTACCTGAGGATGTAACCCTCAGTCAAGAGAAATTAAAGTGCCTTGTTCAGCTGCCTCAAACTGCAGGACAGTATATGCAAGTATGCACAACAAGCAAAATAAATTATAAATGCACTAAACTTCATTATCTGTTGTGGTAGAAAGGGAAAGGAGAGATTTTGGCCAGTGTCTGGTCTGGCCAGGGTCCACAGCAGAGCAGGCTCTGCAGAAGTATTTCTGTCTCTTTGCAGGAATTCAGAGTGGGTGCTGTAGGGACTGCACCTCTGGCTTGGGCACTGCTGCCTCTGTGGCATATGCCACCTCCCAGCCTGCAGAGACACCCTCTCTGAGGGGCTGCAACCTGTGATGGTCCTGTGCACTCTCCCTGCAGGATGTGAAGTCTGCTTGGGCTCTGCAAGACCAGTGGCACTGAGCCCCATCCTGAAGGGCTTTTCCTGGCTCCTAGTCATGCAGTTGTGCTGGCTGAGTGTCTTCACTTCCAGCACTGACCCATGCATGACTGATTTACTTTCATAAAATGAGTTCTTCCAGCACTTTCATATTTCGCTTCCTTACTATATTCAGTCCTCCCAGCCTTGCCTTTCTCTGAGCAGAGTGGCTCCTGCTCCTCTGGACTCCCCGCGCAGGACAGGCAGTCCTTTGGGCCTGGCAGAAGTCCTTTCCCAACTGTTCGGGTCTGAATTCCTCTCATGGGTCACCTGCTACCTGAACAGTACAGAGTTCCACAGGGGGCCCTTCTCAGTGGCTGCAATGGCATGGGTGCTTCTTCAAGGAAGAAAAATAGCATTTCTGAGTTAATTTACTACAACCTAGGAGTACAGATGATCATCTTTTAGAAGTACTCACCCTGCAGCTGAGTATCCTCTGATTTTAGCTTCTTTAATTAATGTCCAGCTTTCCATCTAACTGCAAGTTTTGTTACCAGCCTTTGCCTTTCCAGATAAATTCAATCAATTTCTGTTTTTCAAAGTAATCTAGGTGTTTCTACATGATATTCCAATCCTTTGTTGTGCTAGCACTACTTCCTAAATGTGTGACATTAGAACATTTTATTAATATAAATACATATTTAATTATTATATATTGCTATAACTTCTTTTTTTGCAAATTCCTCTAACAAAATTTTTGTACAAGAGCAGTCCATGGGCATTACTTTCAACACTTTCCTCAGCAGAAATCTCTGTCAGCACAGCCTCTCCTTCTTCAGAAGAATATATTATTCAGTAAGCCCAGGTTACGTTTTACCTCATTTACTTTCATGTCCTCAATTTTTATTTTATTCAGAAATTGTCCCAACAAATTGCACAGTACTGATCCCAGGAAAAATGACATCAAATTGTCCAGATTGCTTTTCATTTTCGTTCTGGAGGTGCTACTAGTCCTGTTATCCAGGGAGACAATGCCCCTTGACAGTGTCATTTGGTGTTCTGGTTACTGTGCTGCATCACTCAGAACTGGGGAGAGACATGACCTCCTCTCGTTCCCTCCATCTCCTCCTGAACACAATACCTTATGCTTCCAGGTAAGCAGGATGCATCCTGCTTTCTGCTATTAAATTCAGTATTGCTACCATTACAGAAAACCAGAGGAAAGTACTCATTTAGATTTGGAACCATCCTTGAATTACATTTAATCTTCACATCATTTCTGTTTCAGAGGACTTCTGTTTTTTCCTTGTTTTCTTTTTATTTATATAGCCAAGAAGCCATTTGTTATTTTAATTTTCTTTGCAACGCTTCACTTTCGACAGGTCCACTGTATTTCTACACACTCTGACCTTCAAGTCAGTTTTCTTTGCCGATCTGTTTCTTTTTCCATTTCATCTAAGAGCTCTGATTACTTAGACTCCAGGTGATTAACTTTGCTTTTTTATAAAAGGGACGTGGGGTCCTGGGGCAAGAGACGTGTCCCCCACACTAGGATGTGTGATTTGCCAAGGGGCTGAAGCTGTTTCCATCTTTCCATTGCAGTTGTATTGCGAATGGGGTCGGTCTCACTGCCTGGAGTGGGGATAGGGAAAATCCGGAGCTCTAAAGTCTTGGAGATTTTTGCCAGGATATATATAGGAAAATCTCTATATTTCAGGATGGCTGTGGTAATCTGGGGTGTCTGATCTCCATATGAGTAGCAGCCATTTTGAAGTCATTATTCATCCTGTTAGATCTGAAGCATTTAACTAGAAGTTGTTGCTTTTTTCCCCAACTTACTTGAAGGTTCTTTGATCTAAATTTTAAGCCCCCCCTAAAATTAAGTCCCTGAGTTATTTGGTTAGTTTATTTTCACTAGTTGTTTCCTGATAGTTGGTTCAATAAATAGTAACAGGTCTATTTTTGTTTATTATTTGATTTAATTTTAACTGAGCTGGTCCATGCCCACTCACTGCAAAATTCTTGTCTATGAATAGCTCTTGTGTGATGCATTCCCTGCTTGCCAAAACCAGGTCTTAACTGCCACTCTGCATCTTGATTCAGTGGCTCTTTGGTGAAGAAATCTGAGTCTCCCGATCCACAAGTATTTAGGCTGTAATAATGCTCATGGTGTTTGTTCTGCAATTGAGGCATAGGATGTGATATTTCTGTGAGAGCATTATGGATGGTCCTTTCCTGAGAGCCATCAGAGATGCTGTAGAAACAATATTTCCTGTCCTTCCTCAGACTTACTTCAGCTCAAGCAGATTGCCTTTCATCCATGCAGCCTTTTCTCTTTCCTTTATGAACTACCACATCATGGCACTACAACATTAATCTGCCATGATAATCTCTATTTCCATGTTTCCTGAACAGTATGTACCTTCCAAGGACTTGTGAAACTCAAGCGATTAAATCAAGTCATTTTTAGCACAGCGTTTTCCTTAGATCTTTCAATTCCTTTAATCTGTTCTAGTGAAGACTAAGTAGCCCTTTCACTAACTTTTCTTAGCCTTATCTTCTGCCTTAGGCTGACAGAGAATAGAGGCACATACTTTCATCTGTGAATCACACAGTGTTTCAGTTACACCCTTTCTTTTTCTTTTATGCACTGAAGTTTACTGTGAGATCCCAATGAAAACAACATTAACCATTCCCCCCTCCCCCTTCTCTCTTTAAAGCTTGGTTTCCAGATGGAAAAAAAAAGGCAGTAAATTCTTCCCTTGGAAACCCGTTTGCCTTGTGTGAGGAACAGGTATTTCAGGGTCTTTATTGGGAATATATGATCTGTACAAATACTGTTCTAATGTTCACCACCCCTCTGTAGGAAAGGAGTGCTCCTAGCATGTTTACCACATACCATCCCTGCCTGAGGCATGCCAGAGACACCAGCCTCCTTGGTTTTCCCTTGTCCTTTGTTGTGTACTCCATTATCCACCTATTATTATGAGTCACTCATAAACCTACCCTAATCATGACAGATATGTGAAGAACTAATTTGCAGTTCACAAGAAGAACTCAAGTGGATCGAATAATGAAGGCACTGATGCCCCTAACTTGTTTTGATTTGTATGTGTTTAGACATATTTTGAAGTCAACAGGGAAGTATATACAACTTGCTGAGCTCAAATATTTCCTGGTTATTATCTTTCCTTTTCTAATAATCAAATTCATTTGCAAGTAACCACAATCAAGCAACCCAATAAGAAAATATTTATACCATGTTGGCAGTTGAAGCAGTTATTTGTTTTCTAATGGATGTCTGTTGTCAGGTAGATCCTCAACAGTGTTTCTCGTTTTTAGACCTACTTATTTATGCAATCTTTGTGATCTACCATGTCACAGAGAAGAATCCATTAAAATTTCTGCAAGTAAGCTAGATGCTACATTAGGTAACCAAGTTTCCTGGAACTATTAGCCATATATATTCCAGATAAATTGTTTTCCTTATGTTGTGAAGTCAAAATAAACCTGCTAAAACAATAACACTATATATCAATATCCTAATTTTCCTATTAATTTCCCTTTGCCTGTAGCTTCTCCAGCCGAGGGGAGACTGGATCAAATAGCTCGAGGAAGTAACATTTCTAACATCCTAATACAAAACAGTGTAGAGCAATATCGTGAAAGCAAAGCTCGTGTGTCATAAAGAAAGTAATGTTTTATTGAATCAAGAACTTGATGTCAATTGTGCTTTTCGATTGCAGAAGCCTGTTGTTTATTGCAGCAGCACATTTTGTGAAAGTTCCTTCCTGGTTTACAGTAATTCACATTGATACACATCTAGTCTATGACACTGCCATCGCAAACAATAATTTACAACAGCTTCAGCTCTGCTCTTCCAGTGTTGGTTTTCAAGGACTGGAGCCAAGTTCTATTCACCACAAGTAAATCTGGGAGGAAGTTTACTTACTGTGAATAATAATTTACGTTTATCTACTATGGGTTAATTTGTTAAGCATAATTTTGAGGGTTTGATCACAGATCACTTTACATGACACCAAGCCTTCTGGCAACAGATGGAGTACACCTGTCCCAAAGCGGAAAAAAGATTTTTGCTCAGGTGTTAGCAGGTCTTGTTGAGAGAGCTTTAAACTAGATTTGAAGGGGGAAGGGGATAAAACCAGGCTCACTACAGCTAAGCTTGAGGGCAGTATGCCACTGTTTGAGGGAAGGTGTGCTGGAGAGATCCTTCAGTCTGCAGTCTCAGTAGACGTAGGTGATGGACATCCATGCGGCAGCAAGAATGCAAGAGTTATTGAGGTATTAGAAACACTGGAAGTACTTGTGGTCACACAGGAATTACAGCTCCTCCCCTCAAAAGGGTGGTGGGATCAATAGTCCAACTGAAGTGCATCTGCACCAATGCACACAGCATGGGCAACAAACAGAAGGAAATGGAAGCCATTGTGCAGCAGGAAAACTATGACATAGTTGCCATCACAGAAGCATGGTGGGATGGCTCACACAGTTGGAGTGCTGCAATGGATGGCTATAAACCCTTCAGAAGAGATAGGCAAGGAACAAGAACCCGGGGGGTAGCTTTGTATGTTAGGGAGTGTTTTGGTTGTCTAGAGCTTAATGATGATGACAAGACGGTTGAGTGTTTATAGGTAAGATTCAGGGGAAAGACCTGAACAAGGCAGATATCCTGCTTGACTAACCTGATTGCCTTCTATGACAAGATGATCTGCTTAGTGGACGAGGGAAAGGCTGTGGATGTTGTCGGCCTGGACTAGTAAAGCCTTTGACACCATATCCCACAGCATTCTCCTGGAGAAACTGGCTGCTCCTGACTTGGACAGGTGCACTCATTGCTGGGTTAAAAATTGTCTGGATGGCCAGATCCAGAGAGTGGTGGTGAATGGAGTTAAATCCAATTGTTGGCTGGTCACTAGTGGAGTTCCCCAAGGCTCAGTATTGAGGCCATTCCTATTTAATATCTTTATTGATGATCTGGACAAGGGGATCGAGTATATCCTCAGTGAGTTTGCAGATGAAACTAAGCTGGGTGGTAGTGTTGATCTGATGGAGGGTAGGAAGGCTCTGCAGAGGGGTCTGGACAAGCTGGATCAATTGGTGGAGACCAATTACTTGTTCACATTCAACAAGGTGAAGTGGCAGGTCCTGCACTTGGGTCACAACAACTCCATGCAGTGCTACAGGCTGTCTGGGGGCAAAGTGGCTGGAAAGTTGTCCAGCAGAAAAGAACCTGGGGGTGTTGATCGACAGCTGAGCCAGCAGTGTGCACAGGTGGCCAAGAAGGCCAGTGGCATCCTGGCCTGTATCAGAAATTGTGTGGCCAGCAGGACCAGGGCAGTGGTTGTCCCCCTGTGGTCCACTTTGGTGAGGCTGCATCTCGAATCCTGTGTTTGGTTTTGGGCCCCTCACTTAGAAAAAAGACATTGAGGTTCTGGAGTGTGTTCAAAGAAGGCCAACGGAGCTGGTGAAAGGTCTGGGGCACATGAGAGTGGTTGAGGGAACTGGGATTGTTTAGTCTGGAGAAAAGAAGGCTCAGGGGAGACTTTATTACTCTCTACAACTACTTGAAAGGAGCTTGTAGCAAGGTGTGGGGCAGTTTCTTCTCTCAGGTAGCGAGATAGGACAAGAGGAAATGGCCTCAAGTTGTGCCAGGGGAAGTTTAGATTGGATATTAGGAGAAACTTCTTCACAGAAAGAGTGGTCAGGCGTTGGAAAAGGCTGTCCAGGGAAGTGGTGGAGTCACCATCCTTGGAAGTGTTCAAAAAAATGTGTAGATGTGGCACTTGGGGACATGTTGTAGTGGCAAACACAGTAGTGTTAGGTGAATGATTGTACTCGATAATCTTAGAGGTCTTTTCCAACCTTAATGATTCAATGATTTAATGCAGAACATTCAAAATGTTGCTGTATGGATGAAAAGAACCAGCAGTCATATGCTCAATTCATTTCAGAGATAAACCTGGTTCCTTTACAGTGAAACCTGAAAACAACCTTTAGTAAACATGGCAAAATGGAGAGTACATAAGCCAGTAACAAGTGGTGCTTCTCTGTTCTCTCTAATTATGCAATAAAAAGAAGATGTTCAGCTTCACCTTGAAGTCCTTCTCTGTGTTGCTCTTCCTACACAATGGATTGAACCTCTTCAATTTGCTACTTTCTTTTTATTCAGCTAATGTGGAGATACTAGTGGAAGTGATTGAGACTAAGGAGTGCAGCATCATCTTGAGCATTCAAGGAAGCTGAGTGCATGACTCCCCAGCATGATGAGAGAAGAATACACAGCAAAATCGTATTTTTCTTTGAGTGTAAGAAAAAAAGCAGTGGCCAAGTCACTACATTGCTAGCATGCTTGTATTTTTCATGTTATAGCATATAAAGGTATTCTCTTGTTTTATATTTTGTTAATAGAAAGCCTGCACTCTTGTTTGTGATCCCTGGAAAACTTTTGGTTTGTGAGACTATGATCTCAAAAGCACTCACATCTGACAGGAGTAGCAACACCATTGGTGGAGTGGTAGCCTCAATAAGTCTCTTTTCTGGCACCAGCTGTTCCCTCCCTCAAAGTATAACCTTAGAGGCCATTACTTGTCCTTGAAGAGGGCTGAGTGAGAGTGGGTGATGCTGCTACCCACTTGCACCAGCTGCCTGTGCTGCCTTTGCAGCTGGTTGCACTCCCTGAACAGTGTAGCTGGTGCTTTTCTAGTGTTCACTATGGAGTGGTGTGGCAATTCTGCTGTGGAGACTCCCTCTCTAATGTACCTCCAGGTGTGACTGGCTCTCCCTTTCCTCTGGCTGCTCCACAGAGCCACCACCTTGCTGGACCAGCCCAAAAATTCTGCACTCACACAACACAAACAGGTTTCAGTCCAGCCCCTCCTGTCCTTCACAAGCCAGTGCGAGGTACAGCTGTCTGTTCAGCATCAGATAGCTCCCAAGGCATGCCAGTCAGCAGAGCCTGTTGGGTTCAGGTCTTCTTCATAAGAGGGTGAAACAGCTGCAGTCCCCAGTAGCTGGTGACTGCTGTGCTGGGATGCCTCTCTTCCCACCAGCCCATGTGCAGAGCACAGTCCCTCCTCAGCCACCCTTTCACAACCGGCTTTTCAAAGGGCCTCTTGCTCTGTGAAGCTGGTGTTGCTGGCTGCCCTCACCCAGCAGGCACGCCAGCCTGTTGAGACCTTCCCTTGCAACTTCCATGTGTGGTGTATATTAGATAAGCCTTAAAGAGATTGCACCTACTTCAGTAAGTAGCTCAAAAGTGTAGCGTGCCACAGCAGTGAAGAAACCCCCTTATTCCATTAGATTAGATGTTAGGCATAATGTGAGATGCTTTCATCTTTCATCTACACCCAGATTTCCTCACTGAAGTCAATAGGAGCTGCACCTTTAGGATTAAGAAAATAATTTGACCCAGTTAGGTGTCACAAAACAGACTTCAGTGAATTACAGGCTGAAGAGAGAGCAGAATGTTGCCCATTGTATTTACTATCATGTTTGTTTTGGGAGTTAAATTATTCTTCCTAATTCTGCTAGCAGTGTAATATGCTGTCTCAGTAATGGAAAGCATATGAAAGCAAGCAGATGGTGAAAGCAGAAAAAAACCCCAGCATGTCCTGATAATGTAGTAAGCAAGTTCATTTTTTTGGCATTAGGCTTTCATAACCAAGGCATGGTGATAACAAGTACAGACACATTTTTAGAGCATAGTTCATCAAAAAATACAGCCAGTTTCATTGCAGGGCAATGGAAGATTACTTTTTGAGACTTCTCTATAGATAAAACCTAGATGTGAATGTTGTTGAATTAGACCCATCATTTATTATTGCTAGAAGATGAGTGACAGAACAGATACTGGTCAGAGTGATTCCATCACATGTCCTGTGTTCTCTCATATCATTGCAAATGTAGAGCCTTTCACCCATTAATTTGCAAATATGTCATCATCCTGCATTACAGAAATACCACAGACCCTTCAATATAGGTTGCTATCACAGAGGGCAGTATTGGAAATTTAAAGTATTTTATTTTCCTTTTAAAGTATGCAGCCTCCAGGTTGAAATTTTGAAGTCCAAGGTTGTTGCTTCTTGGGTATTTGTGTGTATATGCAGTACATGAAGCTCCCAGTCTGACTCCTGCAGCCCTTAACTTCTTCTACCCACATGCCCCATTCTTCCAGAACAGAAGGCAGAACAGCCTCAGTGGGAAAAACTCCCACTTGTTTAGCAAGTCTGAGAAAACTGAGACAACCTTGATGCACCGGCTGAGCAAAAGGCCCTGAAATGTGGTTTCTGGGGAGGACACTATCCAGACTGATGACCTCCAAACGACATTTATAAGTCTCTCAGGACTAAACATGGGCAGAAGCAATGCCAGATTCACCACTTATCATTTTAAGATTCTTCAAAGAAGGGATAAATGATCTTTGTTATAATCTTTATTTGAAGCAATGCAGACACATCTTCATGTAGCTGCAACATGGACCGACCTTCACCTTCCAGGAGTTTTGGCTTTAGATAGAGCAAGGGAGGAGGAGATGTGAAAGGCACTGCTGCAGTCCTGAGACTAAATGTCCGTGTACAATCAAGGCAATAAACCCAGACCTGAGCACACTGATCTCTTCTACTGGGAAAATGGGTAAGGAGAGACAGACCCATTTCTCATTGAAGTACCTAATTGGTTACAATGCCTTTTTTTTTTCACCATGCAGTAATGCAGCATACTAAGTAATGTGAGGGGTTTGTTTTTAAAAAATATTCCATATACGTCTGGATCATTCCTAACTTGAAGAAACACAGGCAAAAGAGTGGGTTTGATTGTTTCATCCCTCTGAGGACTTTGTATTTGCTGCTTCCTTAGGAAAGTTTTCTCTCTTTATAATTTTAGTAATGGCTTGCTGATTGAACATCCTAGGAGTTAATGTTTTTATTTCAGGATTGCTTTTAGTATCTTTGTGGGGTGGGGGGTGGCAGTGACATCATTCACATTTCTTTGCTGTCCCTATGTCCCCTTCACTTCATTACTTGGGCCAGGACATGGAATGGGGAAGAAATGAAATCAACAGTCTTGTCCCCAGGTCCCAGCTCTTTTTCTGTTCCTTTGCCTTGGTACCATTTTTCCTGGTGCTGTCTCCCCTTTCCAGGTCTTGGGGATATGGTAGAGCAGACCTTTGTTGCCAGGCCCACATGACTTTGGCAGCCTGAGCTGGGGTGAAATCTGAGCATTTCTGCTGTCAGCGCCTTGGACAGAGACTGACCTGGGAATGTGCCCCAAAACACTGAACTCAGACCCACAAGCCAGGGCAGTGGCTGAGCCAGTGGCTGACATGGCTAGTGAGTCACTGGCAGAGGTCCTGTCAGAGTATCGCTTTCCTCTGTTGTGCTGCCTTTCTGTTACCCATGAATCTCTTATAGGGCAAGAACCTGAGGTCCCCTCTGCAGAGAATTGAGTCCTTGATCCCAAATTGTTTAGGCTGAGCTCAGCAAGCCTGTTTTTCAAAGCAAAGCCTGCTCTCCATGAGTAAATTTCCCTTTCAATTTTTTCTTGACAATCCCACAGTAAATAGCTTTAAATGCAGTGTCTGTGTGTAACTGCTCTTTTTGGTGCGTTTCCCGTAATGAGACATAACATATGTGTGTGTCTTTACACACCTCGGAACAATGCTATGCAAGCATTAGGAGATTTTTCTAACAAGTAGTGAATGTGCTGCTTTTCACAGCTCACCCAAACACTCCTGCTTGATAAGCCTGCCTGTAGAGGGATGTTTTCTGTATTTCTAGGATCAGAGGAAAAGTGAAAAAAAAAAGGTGGGAGGCATATTTGAATATTTTAAACTGCTAATTGTGACGGAAACAACTCACACAGAGGACGCTTCTTGGATGGGGAAGCCTGAGGAAGTGTGTCTGTGGAGCTGTAACACTGTCCAGAGAAGGAAGTTCAGCAGGAAGTGCAAAGACTTGAAGTCTTTGCTACTTCCTATATCTGTGCATCCTTGAGTGATTTGTTCCATTTTTCCCTCTGACAAGCACAATGCCAGTATACCTATAGCCATCCTCAGACAGTTTAATTCACAGTATTAAAATCACAGCAGCACTATGTGTACCTCACACACACATAACAGTGCAGGAACAGTATTCTTCCCAGTGATGTTGTCTTCATTAGCACCAAGCAGACGGTCAAGAGACATTACTGACCACACCATGAGCAGCACCTCCAGAGTTGGGCAGGTGGGGTGTTCTCCCTGACCCTGACTGCTCCTGAGTCCCTAACTCCTGAACTACTCTAGCTAGAAGTGTTCTAGCCCTGAGGCTCAGAAAACATCTTTCTGAAGAATAAGATTTTTGCTCCATTTCTGATTTTTACCTGAAGCCACCCAGTCTGCACTAGCTAACAGGTATTTTTCAGAAGGATCTTTAGGCAAAGTCCTTCTTATTTCAGTACAGAGTTGCACTGTTATTCAACACATTGCATTTTCCAGAAATAGATATTTCCTGGAAAATATAGCAGATGTTTTTGCCTATTGGTGGTTCTTCCATCTTTGGTTACCCTCACAAGTGAAAGATCTTGCTGTAGTCCATCTTCCAGTGAGGATGAGTCCCTGGGACAATGGTGTTCCTGCAGGAGAAGCAAGGTGGGAAGCAATGCTCAAGGGCAGAGGATGCATGGCTGGAAAGCATGATTGCAGGGCAAAATATCATGTGCACGTGTTTTGAAATATTATCTAAGTCCAATTCTAACTTCGGCAGGCACACACCAATCCTCCAGATTTACACCAAACCCCCGACTGTGCCCAATGCTAATACCAGCTCCACAGCCCCACCCTGCTCTCACCTGGAAGATGTTACTCTGTGCAGAGATTTTTGTCAGCACCAAAGTCAAGAGATTCCTAATTATAGTTCCCACAACAACCATAACCCCAGGTATTCTGAACAAATACTGTAAAAACTCTGAAGTTAGTTGTGTAAGTGTTTCTCAGTACGGTGCCTGAGGGACCTGCATAGTACAACAGGCTCAGAGATGCTGCCTGCAACCTCCAACACACCTGCCCCTGCAAAACCCAAGCACAGCTGAAAGAGGGGTTTGGGGGTAAAACTTTTTGACAGCTGATGCCAAGCACCAGATATTCTGGGGTAGCTGAGGAGTTTCTGGTAATCTGAGGCTATAGTTCTGGTACTGGAGAAGGTGGCAACCCACACTGTATGGCAGAGCCAGTGAGCAGCAGGTGTCTGCTGAGCCCTGCAGCAACACAGACTAACCAGCATCCTTGCACAATGCATCTTCTGGTCTATTTACTGCACTTAAATGGCCTTTGTAATTTTGGTCTCAGACAGTCTACAGCAGAGTCTGTGCCTCCCAAGTCTGAGGGTCATAACTGCATTTTCCAGTAGCGACAGAATAAGATACAGAACCAGAATTTCACGGGTAAATTAGTGCCAGGACCTGATGGCTGGAGTCCACAGGCTATGACCTCCTATCTCCAGCAGCATTTGTATTTTCCTCTGTTATTTCAAATGTTTTATAGGAATGTTATCTAGTCTAGTCTAAACGATGATCCCACTTGCTCTTGAGAGTTGTACTCTGTGAGGGAGAACATTGAAAACTTTTATTATCCCCAGTGTTTGGGCCCAGACACAGAGGGGTGGATGCTCCACAGTCAGGACTCTTCCATCCCTTTGCCCCCCCAGCCTGTGCTCTCTGCCTGCAGTCATACAGAACAAGAGCTACCACCAGCTTCACAGTCCCTTCCCACCCCTGCTGCAGCTGTGCTCCTTCCCCAACCCAGGGACAAAGCTGTCTTTGTAGTGATGAGGAGATGTATGGCCTCAGTGGCATTACTCCACACACATATTAATGGCAGAAGAGAGGAAAAACTGGGTCACACATTCCAAGCTAAACCAACTATAGAGAAAGATCTGAGCAGTGATGTTCCTGCCTCTGGATATGCTGTCTCCTAAAGCAGGCAGTACTTCAGATCTCCAGCTCCATTTCAGTCCTGTCCACTTAAAAAAACCCAGGTGTTGATGAAGGAACTGTCTGTGTCTGCTTTGGCATGTCAGGAGTAATCACTTGACTCATTGCCTTAAAAGCAATGAATCTCTCTTTATCTTGATGGTAACTTAGTAAAGAAAACTAGTGGCCACCTCAATTATCTGGAAGAGGCTAAATGACAACTTCCTACATGCTCTATACAAATCAGCCAGATAGCTTCAAAGCCCATATTGGTTCCAAGTGGCTGGATATATCCAGAGTGGTTAAAATAGGCCAGCATACAGTGCTTTGTCATCCTGGCACATCCTAGCCATCCTGCTGCTGGCCAAACAAGGACATATGGGTATTTCTTGAGTTTTCTCTGTGATTAGACATAGCATCCTGTAACAGTTTGGGAACAAACAGCAACTGTTTTAGTCATGCCTTAAAATTTGGTAAATATCCCACCAAACTATCTCAAAGCATTTCACAAGCCTAGTCCTTCTCTTTACTCAGGTATTCACTGCAGGGAGTAAGACCCCTTCATAAGGATTTGCTTTTGTTTTCCATTTTCCACCTGCAATTTGGGAAGAAGGCTATTCAACCACCTTTGTAAAGGAATTTGGGAACTCTATAAGGAGAGTGTTCTTTAGGTATCAGATATCAGTAGCAGCCTGTCACATTGAATTCAGCTGGGGAACAGCTGGCTCCTCCGTTGCAGCACTGGTTGAGGACTCAACTCCCAGATGTATTAAGACTCCATGTGTGACTGAATCTTTTTGCATCTTTCTGTCTCACCTGTAAAATGGAGACAATAGTGTTTCACTGTTTGCATGAGTGTTGAGAGGTAGTACATTCATGGTACTGAGAACATCTCCGTGCAAATACATGCAACAGATAATTGTGCAATAGCTGTAGACAGAGCATTCATTTGGGTCTGTATTCAGCAGACTATGGAAGGAACCAGACTACTAAAACCTCTATTCTAGGGCAAAATGCCTGAATCACTTCCAGACATCCAGGTGTCACTGAACATTGTGAGGTGTGGTATCCAAGTTTGGGCTTGAAGGTAGATTGCACGGCTAATTCCTACTTAATTTATAATAGCCTGAACCTCAACAAGAACTCCAACTACTGACTTACTGGAAATCTGATTCTGGATTCAGCTGCCCATTTTGTACTTTGGGTCTGTATCTTAAAATTACTCTGTTGTCTGCTTCAATCTACTCTGAAGCTGGAGATTTATGTCTACAGGAGGCAGGGAAACATATTATGTTGCCAAACTACTTCCACTCTTTTCCAGTATTACAAGTCAGTGAATGGTGGGTTGGTCTTGTGATTTCCATCCTGCAATTTAAACCAGATGGGCTACCCTTGCAACATAAACACTGAAGCAAGAAAAGCCAAAAATTGGCAGAAGTTCTGTTTCCTGATAAACTGCATGATTATGACTTACATTTTTTAACAAGATGCACATAAAGCTAGTTTACAGGATAACTTGATCACTTTCTTTGATTCATCCCAATAAAATATGGAGGTTTTGTTTTCTCAGGGAACAAGGAGGTGACCATAGAACAATACAGAGGCTGACCTTATTAGAAACAGAAAGCTCTCAGGCTGCAGAAGGAAAGACTCT